TCGCAACCGCTCTATTCTCTTGCACCCTACAGTGGCAACCGACCACTACTTCTTTCCTCGATGAAGTCATTAAAGCAGAATAAACTTTTCAAAGACAAGACTGAATACATTAGTTTGGCATCACTTGCTTTGAATGACTACCCCTTCTCAGAAAAAGATACTTGTAAGTTGCCATCGAGCTATGTCGAATTCATAAATGACAGCGAAAAACCATACTGAATAAAATAGCTTGTATAATAAAATAATGCATGGCACTGTAGCAACTCTTTTATCAGCTCATCCAGACACAAGAATGCTCTAAGAAAGTGCACCAGACCAGAGCTTTGCAGTTTACGTGTTGCCACACCATATATCTGTACATCTTCTACACATGAAGCTTTTTAGCCACACCCTCCTGTTTCGGAAACACACATTTCCTTCTTCAAAAAAAAAAGACTTCCTCAACGCCAAACTTCATTATTATCACAAATGTGTCTTACGAAAACTTTCTTCCTGAGGATAGACATTTCTCGTGCTCCAAGTTTTCCACCCAAACTATGCCCACCCATGAATATTTACGTATATCCGATGGTGACAAGATCGATTGCATAGCACGCCTGACCATCTCGATGCCTCACTCGAATAATACACAACAGACGCCTGCTGGTCGTCTACTCGTGGAGTTAATGCTCATCAGTCAGTCAATCGCAATCAGTCATTTAACTGACGCTTGCAATGGACCCCCCGCATATCCGAATATTGGAATCTATTTTGGGGTTCGAATAGTTTTTTTCCTTGACTCGGCGCACTTGCTGTGACCACTCCAGTCGTATAACCTACCATGAATAAAGTTTTTTTTTCATAAGCATGAATTTTATGTAAATAACAGGTTTTGCTTCCCACCATTCCGCAAACCAATGCTGCGAAAGGAAGAAAAACACAACTATACGAACAATAATGCACTTCACAATAGCCTACAGCTGGTAGCAGTCAAGAGGATAAACACATTTCGGGCCTTTTTTCTCCACAGCGCAGAGAATTCTGGTGAGAAATTCAAAAATACGGATGGATTTCAATTAGTTTGGCACTTGCACTAACCATAAGATCTCCCAATTTATGTGGAGCATACACCTCAAGGGTACGCTTGAAGGTTTGATAGCCTTATGAACCTTCAATATTCAAGCATTCTCGAAAGAGGGACACAAAGTCACACAAAACTCCGACTTTTTGAACGAAAAACTTCACTGTTGCCGATTCCTGATGTGAAATTACTCAATCTTGATGGCAGCAGTTGCAGAAAAATCTTCTCGTCCTTTCCATCAGATTGGTTTTTACTGAGAAACTGAGCGTACTGGTCATTCTTCATTAGTTCTTACTTTACACTTCGTCCAACAATAACCCGGGACTGGATGATCAGACCCGAAGGTGACACTCAACAGAAGACTATTAATCATCCAGATCCATCTAGAAGCTTCTATGGATTACGTAGAGGAAACGTAACTGTCCACTCTCATCGCCTTTGCTGAACAATGTTTATTTGATTTCAAAAAAGTGTTAGATAAACAGAAAGTTGATACTAGCTCAAGAACAGTGTCTGCAGTGGGATAAGCGGTCTGATCGACACTGCTTTTTCAATTTCCTCCTCTTCCTAAATCTGCTACTCAGACTCAAGCCCGTAGGCGTGAAACAATTTCCCATAAGATTTATGGGTGAATTTTAAATCAGCACATATGACAGGCTCATGAATCACTGCCATTAACACGGTTCCTTCCTGATCGGAATGACTTTCCGCGGAAATGATGAAGCTGAATCAACTAAGCATCATTCTGGTCCAAAGAATATGTTCCAGGAAGGAACACAGAAAATTTGCAAATCGTACACGAAAAAAAGACCAAAGGTCAAACAAGTAGGAGAAAGGAAGATGGTAAAACAAAGAAGAATATCGACAATATAATCATTTGTACTTTGAGGTGCTGAAGAAGTTTCGCGAAAAGGCCTTATTACCTAATCTTTCGAGCAAGTTGCCACTAGAAACTGCCTCGAAAGCCTTAATTACGAGAGTAGCTTCGTCGCAGCAAGCCTATTCAGCCTATACCGCCAGGCAGAATACAGATCTAACTCAATGCTTACATCTCAGGCAAAACCTAATCTAAAACTTCTAACAGCAGCACCTCTAATAAATAAAACCGATAAAAATTGCAGACGATGGACAAGACGAAGAGATTTCAAACCCGAAGAAGCGAGCAACATCTTACCGATAGAGCTTGCAAAGAGATTTCGAAATTTTATAAAAAATAGCAAGAAACAATTTCTAAAAAAGGGAATTGAAAGCCAACCTTGTATATGGATGAGCTGTTGATCGAGTGTTAAGGAAGCACATAATGGCAATTTGAAGCTCATTGCCGATCAATCAGCTGATCACCGCGATAAATTAATTATCCGAATTAGTTGAGAAGAAATGTGAAGATAAGTGGCGGAATTGGCGCCCTAGTTAAAAGGCACGAGGACGAGAATGTCGGTGGCTGTGCGGCTCTCTGTAAGTGTGGGTCATAGAGAACGTGAGACAGAATGGGCGACAGAGAGGGGAGCGTGCAATACATTACATCACAACTGCACCGCCTATTCGCCTTACACTTACACTCTCAACATACAAGTGTCCCCTCTAGTTTACCACTACTTTACTAGTCTCCACCCCTTTTGTTCTCATCATCGACCGCATATGCACGGATTGGAGCCAACCCTCATATCGATTGAGCCGAAACGACACAGAATAGACAAAAACCCCGAACAGCCAGGTGCCCTTCCTCATTTGGCCTTGCCTTGCAAATCGTCAGTGGGCAATTTTTCAACCAACCATTAGATACCACCCTCGTTATACGTAAAGGGCATGTGATCTTAGAACTGAGGGTAGTACCTTCTCTGAAAACGTCTAGTTCAATGAGTTCCCCTAAAAATAGACGCCGCATTCACTATAAGAAATGTTGCACTCCCGGAAGATGCACCCTCTATCTAGTCTTCCAAGAAAAACATGGCACCAAAAAAAGTAGTCCCGCCAACTTCTCTC